TATCAAAACAAAATCTACGAAATATAAACTGGTGTGCTAAAATCTGAAGACGCTAGTGATAACTACAGGAAAATTTTAAATGAAGAGATGACAAAAATCGACTACATTTTAAGTATAGAAGAACACTGGACCAAGTGAAAGGAAGCTATCCATACAGCGGCTAAAGGCTTTTTAAAACCTAATCAGGCTAAAATAAACGAAGATTGGTTTGATGAAGAATGCACATCCATTAAACGACAGAAAAGAAGCATATAAGAGACTTCAGCAGCGCAGAACGAGGTCAAACCTGGAAGACTATGAAAATCTTAGACGAGAAGAAAAAAGGACGTTTAGGAGCAAAAAGAAAGAGTCATACGAAAACGCTCTAAATGAGATTGTTAACCACCACAATAGAAAAGACTCGCGAAAATTTTACCAGAAGATAAACAGCTGCAGAAAATAATTCAAACTCAGAATAACAGCATGTAAAGACAGAGATGGTTCCGTAATTAGTGACAAAGAACAGATCCTAAACAGGTGGGCGAATCATTTTGAAAAACTGCTTAGTGACAGTCGTGAACAAGACCAGATAGAAAGTACTTTGCCTGTAATTGATGAAAACGCTCAAGAGCCGCCCCCCACCGAAGAAGAAATTAGAGAAGCCCTTTCAAAACTGAAAAATAACAAAGCAATGATTAGCCTAGGTAGCGTTTGGTAAATTAAACTATGTATTATATCGGATCTACCTATATGCCTCAAAAGGAAAATCTGTGTGTTACCCGTACTCACTAATGGAGCGGAAACATTAACAAAAAAGGTAGTGAATAAGATTCGCGTGACTCAGAGGGCTATGGAGCGCCAGATATTGGGTGTCTCTGAGAGACCGAGTCACAAATGAAGAAATACGTCGTAGAACAAAAACAACAGACGATATCAAAAAATAGCGTCGCTAAAATGGAATTGGGTAGGACACGTCGCCAGATTATCAGACAACCGATCGTATTGTCCAGTGGAGACCAAAACAAGAAGCAATACGGAGCGAAAGATGCCCACCAACTAGATGGGCCGACGACCTAGCGTCTTAGCAATAACTGGATGTAAGCCGCACATCACAGAGACAGATGAACAGTGCTGAGGTAGACCTATGTCCAGCAGTGGACGCATGCAACTTTTTGATGATGATGATAATTATATGAAACATTCGAAAGTTTCCGTGAAAAACACAAAAATAATCAAAATAACATTCAAAACGAACTTGATTTCTTCTGAAGATAAGATAAAGCAATTGAAGTAGTCAGTATAAATAAAGATACCAGATGAAAGTACCCGACATGAAAAAGGCTGTGGCATTCTAATAAATGAAGAGTTCCAAGGTGAGACTTTAAACCAATTAAGGAAAGCATCTGAACCGTAACAATAAGGGGTAAATGGGACAATTTAACTCTATTCTCAGTTTACGTGTCAACCTAAGACGCATCAAAGGATGGTAAAGAGGAATTCTACGACGCCCTAAATCTATTATACACAGAAGCTCCTAATGGTGATATCAAAATAGTATCTGACGATTTAAATGCAAAAGTAGACAAAGAACAGTACGTAGCACTCATGGCAAGAAGACATACCCTAGATGACAATACTAATGGTAATGGATAACGTTCGATCGATTTTGCAATAAAATGGGAGGACCAGGTAGTGACACAGTCCAGTTTCTTGCAAAAGATAGGCTCAGAATCCAAAAATCTTCAAAACAGACCAGTCTCAACTGCATTATAGATTTCGTCAGAAAGAATTGTTGCTCTCAGGATTTCTTCAGATACAGGAATGTGTTTAGAACGATCTTGCACGAACTACATGTTGTTTTCCATCTTTGGACATTCACCAGCTCTTTCTGGTGAAGATCCAGATTTTCATCGTTTTCACGTGGTCGACTATCTTTTTTTAAGATCGGGTATGGTAGCACAGCCAACTCTATATTCTTTTATAAATTTGCATATAAAATTGCATATGTTTCGAGAGTCTTGTGTTTTCGTTTACTTTACATAACTACAGTATTCTCACTTAAAATAGCAGGAAAATATGTACGCAGTGCACCGGATAAGTTTTGAGGGCTCTTTGACTCGACGGAGCGCATGCGCGTGTAGGAGTGGGCCGGATTATTGAACGTGTAAAATCATATAGCCAATTTGTAAGTTAATTATTTATTCACTCTTTAATTAGTACTGGGTTCTATATCTAAAGCAAGAACGTAAACTTTAACTGTTACTAAAACAAACTGTAAGTTTAGCCGTAAGCGTGTGTATAAGTGAACACATAATACGGATTTGTATACTTACAGTAGCTCTTAAAACCAAACAGGACGAATAAACCTTAAATCAAATCATTGTATGCTAACACGCCAAACAAATTTTCATGAAAAGGTTTAACTATTTTAGCGTATCATTACGATATTCGGAATGGGTTTATTTTCATCATGAAAAAATGTTTTAGCATAAATTTTGGCGTTCGACATAAAAATACAAAATACAGTGAGGGGCAAAATTACGGAATACAGTAAGGTATGTGAAGTATTTTTATGTGATTATGAAGTTGTGCGGTTTGTATTTCATCCACCATAAATTTTCATAATTTGAAGTTGTGCGGTTTATATTTCATCCATATTAACTGTTACAATTAATATTTTATTAACTATTTACATCCAGATGTCAGTGGTTTGTTTTTAAAGTGAACGTATACAATTCGGGGATTCCCCTTATTATATGACGTCGCTAGTACATCATTCTGAGTTTCGCACTCAACAGGTATAACCTGTAATTGTTTTAAAATTAAATTTTTTCTTGGCGGTGTTTCGGTCATTTTTATAATAAGTGGGGAGTTTAAATATTGCTGATTTCAATTTGGAGTACAATAAGGAGCACGTTTTGATTTCTGGATTGAAACGTTTAAAGTGAGTGCCGTAAAGTTTTATTTTTCACTAGAAGAGGTTTTTGCGATTCAAATATCAGTCGAATTATTTTAAATCCCTTTTTAAAATTTTATTTGGTCCAATGGAGAAAAAAAAAACAACAAAAAAATAAATTTCGTTGGCAACGAAAATTGCAATTTTCGACCGTTTAGTAAAAGGAGAAGGATCTACGGAAATTGGAAAACATTTTAGTTTGCGCGAATCTACTGTAAGAGTAATTAAGAAGAATGAAGTTGCAATAAAAAAATCTCTCACTTCTGGTACAAAATTAAGGCCCAATTGTTACTCAATGGATGTATTATTAATGATCAGAAAGAGCCACCGCAATTTGTATTGAGAAACTAATTCAAAGAAGGATTCCTGTAAGTGGTTATTTAATCCAGGAAAAAGCTCTTCAGTTTTATGAGTCAATGAAACAGTCAGGGCCATCAACTTCCACTTCCCAAGCTGGTAAAGAATTTTCAGTAAAAAATTGTTGAAGATGGGGACTATCAAATATTTAACGCAAGTGAACATAAAGCAAGTAAAGATGGAGTAACATTATTACTTTATAGCAATGCATCAGGAGATCGGATGTTGAAATCCCTCTTATTAAATAAATCTCCTAGACCACGTGCTCTAAAATACAGAGAATTAGAAAAACTGCTAGTGCATTGGATGGCTAACCAGAAAGCCTAGGTGACAAGAGCTATGTTTACAGAATCCCAAATTAAATGAAATCGCCAAACGAGTAAAAAATTTTACACCAAATGGAAAAATTAAAATGATGGTCTCAACAATGGTAACATATTAGTACTAGCATTCGAATTTATGCAGACTATTCAGTTGCCAAAAACGCCTGTAGGAGATTATCAACAATTAACAGTCTCTGTATTCTGTATCCACAATATCAAAGATTATACTACTAGAATGTTTATTTATAATGAAGGAGAAGGTAAAAAAACGGGAATGAAATTTATTCGTTTCTTTTCGATTTTCCTAAACGAAATATCAGACAATATAAACGAACTTGAATTATATAGTGACAACTGCTGGAGACAAAATAAAAATCACACACTCATTCGCCTGCTCCTTTCTCTAACGGACAGTGCTAGACTATTTTCCAGCCAGAGGACATTCCTTTCTCCCCTGTAATAGGGATTTTACAACTGTAAAGAGAAACATGAGAAAATTCGATAGAATTTTTACGGTCCATCAAATAACCGAAATGATTATAACAAACAGTAACATAAGAAAATTTTCTGTAAAAGAAGTAAAAATAGAAGATCTGATTAATTTTAAAGATTGGTACCTACTTTATATAAGAAAAACTGCCTCCAGAAGTACAGCACGCAATGCAAAAGTACACCTTCAATATCAGCAAATTTTCAGTTTATTTACGAGAAGGGAAAGAGGGGGATTGTTACTGCTTCTGAGTTTATAGATGGCACCTTCAAACATACATTTTAGCTACAACAGAGCAACAAGCTCATATGTCCAATTAAAAAACATATCACAGAAACTACAACTTTTATTTGTAAACTAAAACCATCATTGTGTGGTGTTAAAAATACCATTACTTACCAATTTTAACTATCAAATTTACAGAAAATCTATTTTGGTTTACAATATAATGTTTTTTGCATCTCCTGAAAAATCATTTTTTTGACATGTGCTGTTTCTGCATATAGCGATTCAATTATCATAAATTAATTTATTATGCCCAAATGCATACCGTCACTATGTGTGTACGCTAAAAAATACTAATTTAAAAATAAAAATTGACCTGTTTCTCCAAAGTCGCCAATTCTCGAAAAAATAAATTTATTCCATAATTATACCCCTTACTGTATATACGAAATGAAGAAATTAATAGTGGGGGGTATGTCTCACGTAGAAGAAAGAGTTTTATATATGTCAATCACCAAAAACGAGGTTGTATAATCACTTCTTTATAACAAAAAAAAATATTAAGTGTATCATGTTTAACGGTAGAAAAGAAAAACGTGTAAGTATAACACAACTTTTTGTTAGCTAATCTAGATTATCTAAATATTAATAGAAAAGAAATTGTATTTACATGTTTTTTATCCTTTCCAGGTTGGTTGCAGACTTGCACCAAATGATCCAACTGATAAAGTAGTTTCTTACTGGTACTATGAACCTGTCACCAAAAACCATCACCATGAGTATTTCGTACATACTTACTTGTATACTACTCAGAGAAGAGGTAACCATAAGAACTTATTCTTCATCGAATTGAAGTGACAACAGATAAAAATCTAAAGTAAATTATGTTACTAGTGTGACATTATGTCCGATGGCGTCTTATATAATTCTTATGTCAGTTCTTATACACTTTATATATACCTTTAAATACACGAGATGTGACTATTCAATGACGAAAGGACGCTGCAAAATATTATATTATGACTTCACACATATTTACTTATTATCACTTTCAGTTTACAACACTACTTTATCCATTGTTCAAATAATGCCGGCAAGTTTTTCCGGGAGCACCTTCAATATGCGTGTCGCTTTTTCTTTCAAAGTTTAACGAACTACAATATTATTCCTTTTAATGCAGGTTTTATCTTAGATAGAAATCGCAAGGCGTAAGATAAGTACAATAATGTGTATGGTCTAACACTTTATGTGCTAACCAGGTAACCAGGTACACTAACCAGGTCTTGATGTGCCTTTTTTCGGAAGCTGCCAATTGGGTACATCTTCCATTTATTCATGATACCCATTCCAGAATTCTGGAACTCGGTACCAGCTTGTACAGATCTAGTGAATGAATACCGTATGCTTTTGGAGTAACTACCGTATACGATCTAGTGCCCCATAGTCTGCAAAATATGATTAAGTGTTTCAGGTTCTCTATCACTAAGTTTTTAGCTAAGTCTCTATGAAACAGTTCCATAGTATGCAGGTGTTCCGTGACTGGCGTATGTCCAGTAAGAAAATCTGTTATGATTCCTGCTTGTTAAAAGATATGACTTCCAAATGCTGTTTCCCGTTCCTCATTTGCTATAGGATTTTTAGTAACCAACATGTACTTGGTTTTGTCTTATGTTAAATAGGAGGCAGCCAGCCTTGTCTGAGTCCATCATTTATCTCAAAGGATCGAGAATTTTCTCCCTGTATCCTAACCCTGACTTTTAAGTTAGAGATTCTTTTTCTCGTTAATCGGATAAGTTTTTCTGGTATACCAAATGCACGCATTGACTGGTATAGTACTGTTCTCTTGACATTGTCGTATGCGGCTTTGAAGTCGACGAATAGGTGATGGGTTTCAATGGTAAATTCTGTTTTCTCGAGGATCTGTCTTATTGAATGAATTTGGTCAATTGTTGATTTTTCTGGAGTATATTCGGCCTGGTATTTTCCAACTATCGCCACTATGTAAACTTGTAGCCTTTCGTAAAGAATATTTGCTAGTATTTTCTAAGCAGTTGTTAACTGGATATACCTCTGTAGTTGTCACACTGGAGCTGATTGCCTTTTTTATGTAACAGACTATTGTAATATTGTCGACACAAAAAAGATGTGTGCATTATTTCAACCATGAAATCAGAATTTAACTTTTTTTATAATGTCACAACTAAAAAAATATTTACAGCTGCAGCTGCTGTCGAAATAAACAGCTATTTATTTAATTTTCTGTATCTGTCACAAACATGAATTGAGATTTATATAAAAGTTACAAACAAAGCTTTGTGATAAGTTTGTACTTCTTTGGATTCGAATGCTAGTTTTAAATAGAAATACTTGACATCCCTATGAATATTATCATCCGACAACACATCAAAAAATATCAGGTATAATTTATTATAAATTTTAAAAATACATTAATACTATTTATTTTTTTATTGTAGTTTCTTAATAGTTACCTCTCCTCTGATTACTCTTTTGATTAGAGTCTTAAGGTAATCAAGTGTTAAAAGAAATATAGATAAGAAAATACAGTTTAAGAAAGACCAGACACCTCTATTTTTATTCGTAATGTTTTATTATTAAACATAAATTACGTTTGTTGAACTCGAATCCTTTTCCGATTCCTCAATGCTGGTGGGTAAGTTATGGCAAACTTGTAGCATGAGGTCCAGACCGTTCAGTAGCGATTGGTAGGAATTATATACCTAATACAAATCAGTTTGTAAATTTACAATGTTATTAACATTTTGTTAAATATAAATTAAAGTATGGTACATTAAAGGCGTAAATAGTAGTTTCCCCCTGGGGGTAACAAATATCCTATCCCGTATATCGACCATTGGTGAATACAGACATCTTCCAGCTCTTTCCACTTTTACAGTATCGGTAGGAGTACAAATAGGCCATAAAAATAAGTACTGTAGCCTTTTAAAATGATTATTACTATTCTTTTCTTATGTATGTTTTCTTATTTCTTTAATCTCTTTCCTTTTTGCTTCTATCACTTTAATCCGATATAAATGCTTGGTTTTGCTTGGATTTGGCATTTGCTTAGCACAAGCATTTACCATATGATTGTACTAGGTCAACTGTTTATTAGTCTCGATTGATTGAGTTTGAGGACAAAGACGGCATCCCTACAGGTCATGCCTGGCCTGATTGGCTGAAGATTTATTTTATTTTCTGAAATCTTTGTTGTGTTGCTCATTAAGTGAATACCAATGTAATCCCAGGGTATTTTCTTAGCGATCTTCTTAAATATAAGAATAGAAGTGCTTTTCGGTCTTTCATTAGGGACTTTACGGTAATACTAAATCTTCTAGGGTAATATTGTTAACTGTCGCACTAAACTTTCTCTCTCTTAGTTCAGTAATTCGTTTGGAATTCTATCATGTCCTTTAATTCAATTACTATTTATGTTCTGACTTAAATTAAAAGAAATACCAACATCTTATGACAATGTCATAAAAGATAATCTACAATTTTTCTGTCTGGCATGTCTATTCGTGTGATACGTTGCAATTTCGGTCTGTGGATTAAACTTGCTGTGATACGGAAGCTATTTTCTTGTGACATTGTAATATTATTTACTATTTTTAATGAGAAATGACTACAACTTCAGTTAAAACTTTTATTTTGACGTTTCGATTTCCACTTCAGAAATCGTTCTCAAAATACAAATTAAGACGGTATTATTTTTGGGGAAACTATAATAAAGTGGCAGGCAAACAGTGAATTAGACTGGCGACAGTGAATTAGACTGGGGATAGATAAAGGTTGAAGCAACTGGGAGAAACCTACAGTATCGTGCGAATTAATGGACTTATTGTGACATTTTTCAATATTCACAGTCGGCAACACTGTACACACATTTACAACTGACCAAGCATTGAAAACATAACCTTATTTTTCTCTGCCTTCTATTTGAGTGTGTTTTAGGACATTTCCCACTAAGTTTGTGTTATTTTGTATTATTTTGTGTTGTTTTCGGTAACTGGTGTTTGTTTCGTGTAATTCTATCATGGATATTACGCCTAGGAAGCGTGAAAAGATTGTCACGTTAAGTGAACAGACGTTACAAAGATAAATCGCAAGAACGTGCGGAGTGAGTCAGGGGGTAGTAAGCAAGATTTTTAATAGTAAACGAGAAACGGGATCAACGGATGTGAAGAGAAAATGCAAAAGAAAGAGAAAAACAACACCAGCAGATGAAAGATTTTTTACTTCGAAAGAGCAAATTGGGCCCAAGAAAAACAAGCCAAGAGCTCCAACAAGATCTAGCAACATCAGGTGTAGCGATTTATGACTCAACTGTTAGGAAAATACTTTTGGAGAATGGTAGAATGGCAGAAAAACAGCTTCTAACAAAGGCTATTGTGGGCCAAAAAATACTTTAATTGGACTGTAGCTACTGGAGAAAAGTCCTATTTACCGATGAAATTCACTTTATAGTTCGGGACAGTAGTTCAAATTCGTCAGGAAATCTAACAATGAAAACCTTACACCATCTCATATTGATCAAACCGTAAAATATCCAGTCAAAAGAAATGTTTATGTGATGTCTTTCATACATGGGGTCTTTTATACCAATCGAAGGCATGATGAACAGCCAAAAATACAAATTCATGGTAGAACAACGTTTGAAGACAGAAGTCCAAAAATATCAGCCCCAAGGAGAAGCGATTCTTAAGGAATCTGCTCCCTGTCACAAGAAGCTCGTAGAATCTAAAATGGGACATATTTCCTACTAAAAGATATAATTTTACCTTTATAGTTATGTCTAAATATATTTTTTTCCAAACAAACTGTTTTTTCATTAAAACAAACTATGATTCCATCATCAAAATGAATTTCCATCAAGTACTGGACGAATCCATCCTTATAATTTTATAATCTATTAATCTTACAATTCTTGTCAGTAACAACAAGAAGATAATTTCTTAGAACATTGCCAAAAAACAAATCGTAGAACTATAGGACAATGCCAGACAAAAAAAATGTATACTATATGTATATGTTGACTATTTATCTGTTAACCATTTACCTCTGTGTACGCCTGGCACATAGATTCGTATAGATTTTGATGTTGGTGTATAGAGTTTTCTAGCATCATTATTTCTGAAGGGATATTTCCAGTTTCAGATGCAGATTTCCATGAAGGCACGTTCTCCACGTATTGTTCCGCCTTGTGGTGGAAAATCACAGACAATGCCAACACTGCAGTTCTATGAGAAATATAAAAAACACGGTTATTGTTTAAGTACTAAAAAAATAAATAAAAGAATATTTTGACTAAAGTATTCTACAGTTAACAAACAGTTTTATAAGAGACGCTTTTTAATGTCCAGTAGCCTCTTTATACATTTGAAAGGAGAATTATCTCTACATAATGACCCTGATAATTTAATAAAGTTAATACTTGTACAATACACTTACTAAGACGTCCGCAAACAAAATTCGAACAACACAGAGGGCAATGTAACGGTCCATGTTGGGATTAACCCTGAGAGACCGAATACCCAACACAGAATTGCGCCGTAAATCGGGAGTAACCGACGCAATCAAAAGAATATCAACCTTAAAATGGAACTGGGCAGGGCACGTCACGAGAACGAAGGACGGCAGATGGACAAAACGCATTCTTGAGTGGAGACCCAGACAAGACGCCTTTAGGAATAGAGGACGACCACCAACAAGATGGACGGATGACCTGAAACGGACACGAAACGAAAATTGGATGCAAGCGGCTCAGGACAGAAATTTGTGGGGTGAACTACGGGAGGCCTATGTTCATCAGTGGACGAGTATGGGCTGAATGATAATGATGATGATGAATACTTGTAAATTGTAATTTCAAAGTAGGTATTTTCTAGAAGTACTAGACCTAGAGTGCCTCCTTGGATGGGAATAACTCAATGCACAATGCATGTTAATAAGTGTCGGAAAATTTAAATTTGGCGCCTTTGCATTTCCGGATATGTACGCCATAATTAAGAGGCCACTTTTATAAATGTTGGTCTCCTTTTCATAACGATTAGATTCCCTCTTTTGTCTTTTTGCTCGATGCGCTAGGTACTACTGTGAAAAAAATTGACATAATATACTTAAAACTAAATTTTTCCATTATTTTTTGTCTCTTCTTCTTCTTTTTATATAGAAATGACTTTGTCTGTTTTTCAATGTGCCTCCAGTAAGTTGTCGTTCCAAGTTCATTGTCATTAGGCTTTATGATCGTTCCATTCTACTCTTCTATTTCTTACCCAGTTCTTGATATTCTTCACCTCGCATATATGTCGTATATCTGTCGTATACTTCTCGCTCTGTCCCATAGTGACATACCATCAATTTTTCTTGGTGTTTTCATCTCTGCTGTTTCTAACATCCTTTTGGTTCTCTCTGTGTCAGGTCTTGTTTCTGCCGCGTATGTCATTATTAGTCTGATGACTGTTTTGTAAATTCTGCCTTTCGTTTCTTTCCCGATATTTTGATTTCTCCATATTATATTATTTAGGGAGCTTGCGGCTCTGTTTGCTCTTTTTTGTGAAATATATAATTACAGTCCAAACCTAAGCCTGCATCACATTCTTCTTGTACTTGAAGGGCAGTTGTCACCAGCACATCGTCTTCTTTTATTATTTGGAACACACATTAACAAATGATCTTGACCATATTGAAGTTACTAAATTTAGACGAAGCTGGTATTCCGGCTCTTTTTGGTGGGGTTTGAAGTTTTTGGAGATAAAACTAGCTCATATTTCGTCGGAAAGCTAGCTGTGGTAATTGGTCATTGTGACTTTTTTTTATATACGAGTAATATCCAGGCATTATTAATTGCTGCATCTAAGAGAAAGCTAAATATACACCACCACCATTTTCGGGACCAGATGACAATTCTATAACATGATATGTTTTGGTCCCTTAAATCTGTTCCTCTTAACAATTAAGTCTGGGCTGGATATGTTTATGTATTTTTGTTCCTTTTTACTATATCTCTTTATCTGATAAAGCGGATCGACACCAAAACTTGTAGATGCTACAGTACTACACTGTTGCCTTTCCATTTTACAAAAAGAACCTCGTTCCCTGTTTTTCTTGGATTTTTTCAAGACAAGTGGACATGTATGTGGAATGCGATTTTCACGCGAAAAATTAAACAACGTAATACTTGTAAACAGGTTGTCAACAAAAAATGATAGGGATATTCGGGATAAGGTATATCTTTAATCATGGTTATTAGTGGAGCAGCGGCTTTACCAAATAAAAGTTCATACTGCTCATTGGAAGATGGTCCTTTCTCTAAATAAAGGTCAAAATTTATTAAATACCCATATTTACTATTAAGGGACCACATATTGAAGCCGCATCGGATATAGGCATTCCTCTAATAAACTGTTTACAACCATGTTTTCCGAAGTACTTAATCATTGATTCGTCATAATCGAGATTAGAGACAGGAACACAATTTTTGTCAAATTTTGACTGTAATAGATTCATAAAAGGTCGCATTTTGTATAGCTTGTCCCGTTTGTCTAATTTTGTTTTGTCGGCACAGTGAATAAATTGAAGGATTTGTTTGAATCTATTTCGTCTCATGGCATTACAGACTGCCGTATTTCTTAAATCTGCTCCCGAGTATCAGAAATAGTTTGTACCTAGTTTTGAGTTGTATCCACTTACAATCAGTATTGCTGTAAAGTATCTAACACAATTAGCTGTTATTTATCAGCTGAATCAATAAACTTGTCGTACATGTTTGAATGTTTCTTAGTCCTCTTCGTGTACTGATGTTAGTATTTCTGTATTGACTAGACTAACCTCTACATTTGAACGAAGTTGAGACCCAGTCAAATTATCGATAGTACTACCGTCTTACATATATGTAGCTCTAGGCACTAATTGGTTAAGTAGACATGAAATTTCAAGTATCGTAAAGGACAGCATTTAACTTAACTTTTTAACATAAATAGTATATCGTGTCATTTTGTGTTTTTATTACCAAAAGTATTTCAAATATGCTATCTTCTGGACACATAACTGAAGCCACAGTATTAAGCTATTTGATTGATAAAATAAAGGCTTTTGTTAATATGTCTTTAAGTAATAGCTGTATACTCAATTAGGGTCCCAAAAGAAAAATGAAGAACGGAAAATGCATTTTATTTGTTACACCTTCTTACCTTTCATCTAGCCCAGCCGCGAAATCCTTCCACGTACGATCCAAACGTCCGGCGACCGAGCGAATATGCGAGGCGGCATAATGGCCGCCTTCGATTAGACGCGACGCGACCGAAAGTATACGATTGATGTTCACGTAAACGTTCATGGAGCTCATCGTGAAATGCTGGTGCTCTTCTTGAAGCTGCTTGGCTAATTGGTAAGTATGGCCTATTTCTACATAGTTAAGAAGGAAGACGTCTTTGTTATGGCAAATCCACTCGAACATCTGAAACAATAATTAATTTAATTACACATAATTATGATACTCGGCAACATCTAGAAGACAGTAGGGTAGTGGCAACTAAAGTTTTTGTAGATTTGATCAACGAACAGACAACAGCAAAGCAGTATTATGCCAGTAGTACGTAGTTTTACATTTATATTGATTTAAAAAGTGATATTTTTATTCGAATGATACAGAATATAGTTTAATTACTTTTCTTTAATTGTCATAAATGGTTGCATTGTAGAATAAAGTACATGGAAATTGTCTCACTAACTTGCTAAATTTATCGAAATAAAAAAGTTTCCATCAGATTTGACGGTGACGACTTAGAGGCAATTAATATAAGTATGACAGTCAGACAGGAATATATTTTATCTCCACCTATTTTTTATCGAAGCCTACAAAAAACTTTGAACGGGCGCTACTCACAAACTTATTTGGAAACAAATAAAATCATAGGTGTTCCTCTTAACTAGCTGTAATATTCCTTCACACTATTTATTAACTCGTTCAGTGCTCATACCGCCGATCGGTGTGGAGGTTTCGGAAACATAGTGGACCGACGGTCCCGACGAAATGAATAAGTTACAATTTACTGAAAAAAAGCAACTGCTGGTACCTACTCCTGAAGGTAATACACCTATTGATTATTTTTGACTACTATTGAACGACGAAATAATATCTTTGATCGTAACTTAAACAAACCGGTATGCAGAAGAAATATTTTGCAATAAAGGGACTACAGTAAACTTGAGAATTACCAGATGGAAAGCACCTATAAAGATTAGTAAGCAAGATGAGTTACTAACCTTTATAGATTAATTACTATTTATAACTGGGAATAAGCCACAATTAAAGATAAAAATACGTTTATTGACGTTTCAATTTCCAATTCGGAAATCGTTCTCAAAATACAAACAGTGTATTTTGAGAACGATTTCCGAATTGGAAATTGAAACGTCAATAAACGTATTTTTATCTTTAATTGTGGCTTATTCCCAGTTATAAATAGTAATTAATTTACGATGCCACAAGAAAATAGCTTCAGAACAATATTAAGTAACCTTTATAGGTCTAGTACTGCATATGGGCACTATCACACTCAACAGAATACAAGACTCTTGAAAGAAGCACCCTTTGTTCAATTTGACTTGTTTTTCGGCATTTATGGGAAGAGATCGTTTCTTAGTGATAATCAGATGCTTGCATTTTTCGAAAAACCCATCCCACGGAGAAAAGGCAAAAGATAGACTAATGAAAATTAGGCCAATGGTGAATTTTTTTAAAAATATTGTGGAACCCATTTATTATCCAGGAAAGGAACTATCTCTGGATGAATCAATGGTTTTATTTCGTGGACGGTTAGTTTTCCGTCAATATATAAAGAACAAACGGCACAAATACGGTATAAAATTGAACAAAGGGCTGCAATTTTTCATTATAACAAGCATATGGGTGGTATTGATCGTCAGGATCAGTTAAATGCTTATTATTCTAGTCAACGCAAAACTGTAAAGGTGGTACAAAAAATTGGGAATCCATTATGTGCAGCTGATGCTCCTTAATTCCTATTTATTGTTTCAACAAAAAACCAAGAACCAAGAGGAAACGTTGCAAAGTATGTTCTCAAACAAAGATACGGAAAGATCTTAGATCGAAGATAATAAACCAGGATTCTGTGTAGAATGTTTCGACAATGTTCACGCGGAATAATAGATTTTGTTACTTTGTTTATACTATTTGCAATTAGTTTTGTTTCTGTTTTTATACTTTTTTGCTGAGGCGAATGATATTATTTCAGTTTGTAGGAGAGATATTGTATTTGTTTTTATAATAAAACTATTTTGTTCATGTTGTTGCTTTGTATGTCTTTATCTAACAGCGGACAGGTAGGTATATTCCATACTTAGCACTTAGTACCTGTATTGGAGTATACCAAGGAATTTTTAATAAGGTGCATGACACCGATCGGAGTCACGCGTCAAAAACACATAAGCGTCATCGTGTTTTTGTGTAACACAAAAATGGAATTCTGACGTTAACCCCTAATGACAACCACCAAAAAACATTACCGCTCCTGGCAAATGTCGCAATTTAAAGTTAGCAGTGAAAGTGTTAAAACACCATAGTAGTGTCAGGGTGTGATGAGTATCAGCTAAAATTAAAAGTCGATAAACACAATTATATGCCAATATCCAAGGATCAAATTATAACAAAGAATTGGCAGCATAGCTTGGGCTACAAAATAAATAAGGATTTTGACCACTCTAGAAAAACAAAAATACTCTGCAAAAACAAGACTTTTTTTAATAGAAGAAGATTTTTTGTATGTCTTAAATAAAGTTGTAACTGATTGTCATAATACTAAAATGCTGTAGCTGAAACTGAAATTTTCGAGCTGTAGCGCATCAGTTGTTTGAGCAGAAAACTTCGAATTGTAAAGAAGCAATATAAAAAATCATAAAGAAAATACTACACACAAAATAAGGCATCCAAAAAGTAGAAATTCTTATATATTGTAAGGCTAGGAAAATAGTCCAGTGACGTTCAAGAAGAAGATCGTAGTTTAGAAAACCTGCAATGGTTAGCACAAACAACCGAATCTATTTTCCTATAGTATATATTATTTTAGTTATAGTATATATTATTTAGAAAATAGTATATATACTATTTTCCTATAGTACTCAATAACTGTGAAGGTAGGGTTTCCTAGAAATCCTGTGCTACCATGAAGCGGTCACTAAGTAGCCGCTTAGATAGATGACATCACTAAAATATTATCTAGAGAAATATTGACATACGAAAAGCAATACATAGTTTGCATTTAAAAACGATGGCTTAAATATCAACGTCAAATTGCAGTGCCGCTTATGGATGTACACGATCAGACAGCTGACACTAGAATTAAAGGTCAGATGCCCGAAGAAGACTATTATATGAACGGAGCTCGACAGGAATGTGTGCTCCCTCTGCTTTTGTGTAATTTATATACAAAAATTATTTTTGGAGAAGCTCTGAAAAACAAAACAGACGGTATAATTGTCAACGGAGTAGTCATCAACAACTTGCGATATGCGGATTGACACAGTATTGCAATCAACGGATAAAGATGATTTACACATACTTCTATAAGCGGTAAGAGACTATAGTAATCAAATGAGTTTAAAAGTTAATACGAAAAAAAACCAAGTGGATAGTCATCAGCAAAACCAAAAGAAAAGCTATTGTTAGCTTTATTGTTAACAACTGTTATCAGTATAGATGGAGAAATAGTGGAGAGAGTACAATCATACAAATATGTTGGCTGTTGGGGGAATGAAAAGTGGGACATATCTCAGGAAATCAAAAGGAGAAACAGAACATCATTTAAGAAAATACACAAATGAAGCGCTAAGAATTCCCTTAAGAATGCAGTTATTATTGTTATGTCTTCAGCATTCTCCTATATGGATTGGCTGCATGGACTCTCATTGAAACGATATGTAAAAGAATTGAGACTTGAGATGTGGGCGTATCGCCGAATGTTGGGGATATCGTGGAACGACAGAGAGACGAATGAAGCAATTTTATATCGTCTACCACAGACGTCGACCATGTAGATGTATACATATTAGATGCATATTAGATGTATACCATAAAAAGGAGAAAATTGAAATACTTTACACATGTGATGAAAAATCCTAAATATGAATTGCTGCATGTAATTATTCAAAGAAAAATAGAAGGCAAACGTGGTCCTGGACGACAAACAATATCATGGCTCAAGAACATATGAACTATATGAAGACACTATTAGTTACAACTAAAATATATACTTACTTTTTCACAATCCTGTTCGAACAACCTCAACTGAAAGCACTGGTCCAACTTGAGCTTTTTATGGTGCCACAGTTGAAGTAGATGTTGTTGTGACGAGTGAACTGCCTCTAAATTTTGTAAAACTAAGTTTTTGGTACCTAAGAGTTCTGAGTTCGTATTGCTAGGAGATTCTGGTTCACGCCCGCCGCCTCCCCCACCGCCTCCTCCTCCTCCACCACCACCTTGACCGGTGTCGAGCCCGCAAGATTTTTGTAGTAGACGCTGACCTAAAATATAATATAAACGTTAGTGTATTGTTTGGATAATGTAAAATAAACTGTATAAAAATTTATATGAAAGTTACGATCGCGAAGAATTATCTCAGAAATATATTAACACCAAAAGTTTGTTTCTATGTAATTTGTCAATGCTAAGACTTGATCTATACAGCTGCGGTTTGGTCGACATTCTTCTTGTTCCACAGGTAGGTATATGTATATGTAGGAGTATTGTTTGGCTAAATTTATTATACCGTATTCTTTCAAACAGTGTGTAGATCATACTAAGAAGTGAAATTGGACGGTAATTTTTTGATGAACCGTTAGCTTTCCCTGGTTTTAAGAGGTATAAATATAATTAATAAAGAGGACGAAATAGGTATAAGCAGCTTGCCGCTGCCCTGTATCGAAACAAAAATCTAATACCGTCCTTATGTTTTAATTTAAGTAAATTCATTATCTTAGATAGTTCTTCAGATAGTCAAATGATATTGGACTTTGAATGACCTTTCTTATGAATTTTATTACATTACTGACAAATAACCAAAAGGATTGAATGTTTAAGACTATTTCATTTTCTTTAAAATTGTGTTTTAAAGAAATCAGATGATAGGTATATACAAGTTAGGTTATGTAATATTTATTTTCAATTTTTACTTTACAAAAGGTAAAAGATGGCCCAGAGGGGAACTCAGAAATAAGTGACTCTTTTAAGTCTCCAAATAAAATATAAAAAGAACGAGCAGAGGGGCGATCCCAGTCGCAAACTCTGGCTCTGACTCCAAGTAAACCCCAACCAATGTCCTAAACCACAATTCATCATGAAAATATAAAACAACATAGTGAATTTCTAGACGGTTTTGTAGAATAAATATCTCAGGAACACAACGAAGAGTATATCAAAACCAACGCACATGGATCGGTATTTGAACAACCAGTGACCGAAAGGAAGTTAAGTACTTGAATACTGTCTACATCAGTCGCAGACGAAACGTCACAAACAAACAATTCCATACTATGAATAAACAATAAAGTGTTGTACTAATTATTAATAACCTTTTGTAAAAGTAGGGCACAACAATACATAAATATTATATTTTTTCACTGTTTTGTCTTCCTCGAACATTGGCAACTAACTGCATGACTTCACTTTATTTACTGTTATCGATTATAAAATTAAAAGGTTCGAATCATTTCTACCTTGTTTTCCTTTCGTATTTTGACGCTTTACTGAGTAATAAATTATTTATAAATAAATGGTTATCATCTGCTCATATTAATTATAATATTTTACACTTTTCATGTGGACAATTATAGTTTTCCTTATAGCAAGTGAATATTTATCAATATCAAACAAGGTTTGTTATTTTCAGTAAAACTTTACTTTTACCTTTATTTTATGAAAAGTATCCAGTTAAAACAATTACCAAAGTAACTTTTACAAGATTCTGGCCAAAGAAATGTTTGCTTTTTTTCTTAACTACAAAACAATAGAACAAAGGATGTAATGTAAGATATAAAAATAATTTTACCTAATAAATCGATATCATCAACTGGTGCCTTCATAATTTTCTTCTTCATTTCATTATGTAGGTCGATTTTGTGTTTGGCGCCACTAACGTCTTCAGCGAAGTCGTTCCTAGCTAAGTCCTCCTAAAATTACAAAATGGAAATAAAAAAGGATAAAACTATAATATGTACTAAATATAAATAAGAGTTATATACATGTGCAGACGTTAGACACATGTATAGTTGGTTGCCTATCGATACCTACAAAATTTCACGTACTTCAGTCTACTTACATTAATTTATACAACAATTTTTTCAATGTTTTTAACTTAAATATAGGACAAATTCACATTACAGACTACAACATTGATGGTTGATACTGTTATATTATTATAATTTTAACTTATTCAATTTTAAATAATGCTGGCTTCTGTCATTTTTAGACAGCCACCGTAAGTTGCACTGACTGCTTTGTTCCGACATCCTTCCTAACATGTCAATATTGTCATTTTTATCAGTTGTTATGAACAGGTCCTCCAAGACACTTTGTCTCAGGACCATGTAACCTATGTAGAAACATACGTCGCCATGTTACCAATTCCAACGGTAACTTCAACATCCTAATTTGTAATAATATATTATGTAACAGTTAACGAGTTTTTTCCCATATATTTTAGTGGCTCATAGCATGTATACTTCGTATTAACCACATTTTGCATTAACCTTAGTCAACATTTTAAATTTTATGTTCTTTTTGATTAAAGTGGTTATATACTTTCAGGTTACACTGATGATGGAATTTACATTTTGAAAACGCTCTGTAATGTAATTGTGATATAGCCCGTTTGGGTATTTTATTACAAACCTTTTATAAATGATTTGAAATAAAAAATTTTGTGATACATGGCATACAGCCAGCTACAGGAACTTAGTTTCCTAGTGGATATTCCTAGATCAATTAGGTCAAGAATAAAAGAAATTTGCCGCATTGAAGAAGAATTTGTTCCAGCCATAATTCCATAACTTAATCGTCGAGGTCTTTGTTTTTACTGTAGTAGACAAAAAAATAAGCCAACCAGATTTATCTGTCAAACATTTATGTGCTTAGAACACGCAAAATGCATTTGCTCCGACTGCCTACCGGATTGTATTTCCAAAGACAGCAGCGAAGATTGATTTATTTCCGTTCATTCATGTATCTACTTTGGGCATCTCAAACATTTGGTTTTTAATTAGTTTTTGTTAAATTCCTAGAAATAGTTGTTTTGTATTTGTTTAATTTGGGTTTTTGTGTTTTATAGTACTCAAAATATGAAAAAGATATATCTGTTAACTATTATTTTTAAAGCATGAGTTTAAATACAAGTTATAATAAATTTGTCTGTAAATGTTTTTTTGTCTATTTTAATTATATATTTAAAGTTCTCAGACCATTTCTCCGAAAATATTTGTTTTTTGGACCTCTTCTAGATTTGCGGATTGCTAGTCCGATCCCTGTAAGGTTAATAAAATAAATTAAAATAAAATCTGCTGCCTCAGTTAAACGGTTGCTTATACGGGTCAAAAAATGACATTTGTGGCTTCCTGAAGAAAATATTTAAACCGAAATAAAATTTTTAATAGCTTAAGAGATTAAGACCTGTAATTATAACTACCAGAGAATATCAATTTACTATTTATATTTCTAAAATAAAATTATTTAACTCAATGATATATAAATATTTTTTCATCTCCTTATTTGAAGACATTTCCGACTACATTTTCCTGTATATTATCATCATCTATCTTTAACACGCATCCCTTAGACTTTAATATTTTGTGGAACTCAATGAAACAAGCCTATGTTGTCAAATATCCTTTTCTCTGTCAAATGTAACAGAAAATAAATAAAAACACTAAGAAAAGTAAAGAAACTAATATTTACCTGCAAATCGTCCAGTCTATCAAGCAGGTCAGCGGCTTGCCAAGCGAACTCTTCAATGGCTAATCTAACTTCCAGCCAGTGAGCATGATCATAAGACAAAGTACCTTCTAAGTCAGATGTCAGTTGACTACTATCTATTATTTTTGGCAAAGCTTCTATACTTATCATATTTGTCTGAAATAAAAAAAAAAACATTACTGTAATAATATCAAAGAGTACATTTATAGTACTATAGTAATTTATTTTTGTAAACTTCCATGTTAACAATTTATTTGAATTCAGAATAGAGAATATTATGTTTAAGCTAAAAAGAAATCAATTTCTTCTGGATTCTACAGATAACTAATTAATTAAATGCTATAAAATGAGATGTGGGGACCAATTTGTAGTTAAAATGTCATAACATTATACATTATGATACATTTATAGATATCCCTATACAATTTGAAGTTGTTCTATTCCTATATATGTACGTGGGACTGCAACCAGGGAAATGTAATTAAGAGCTGTTTGAATGACCGACAAAAAAAAACCAAGTATATGGTCTTCAGTAAAAACATGACACAACCAGCACATATTGGTATAAATGGCATTCAAGTTGAATAAGTATCAAGTTGCAAATACTTGGGGACTTCAATAAACGAAACTGGAGACCAAAACAATGAAATAAAAAGACGTATCGAAATTGCCAGGGGCACCTTCATAAAGATGAGGAAATTCTTCTGCAACAGAGATATAAGCATCCCTCTACGATTAAGAATGCTAAGGGGCTACGTATTTATCACGCCATTATACGGTGTAGAGGCCTGGACTCCCAAAAAAAATTTAAAAAGATTGAAAGTTTCGAGATGTGGTGCTGAAGTAATACGAAGGATGGGAAAAGACCCAGAAATTTTGTCAACGGTCAAACGAAGAAAACTCGAATATTTGGGTCACCTGATGAGAGGACATAAACACGCAGAACTTCAAAATATAATGCAAGGAAAAATAGAAGGAAAACGGAATCCAGGCCGTAGAAGAATGTCCTGGTTGCGTAATTTGAGAGAATGGTTTGGCTGTACCACTAATGAAATCTTTAGGTCAGCTGTAAACAAGGTCAGGATAGCCTTGATGATTTCCAATCTCCGATAGGAGTGGCACAAGAAGAAGAATGACATAAAGTGTTTTTTTTTATTTAAAACACTTATTACACATCAACCACGCAGGGTTATTAGTGGACGACAAACACAACAGTTTTAATATGATTATGTACGTTCAATAGTATAATACAATTTTTTACCCCTTAAATAATTTAATACATTTAAATTTTTATCTGACAGGATGGATTTGAGGTCGTCTGAAATTCCATGCATTCTTCTTTGATTTTGGAATCACGGCCAGTCAAACAGGAAGTGTCATTGAAGTGGAGCAATTGTTGCGAATTGGTGGTGGATCTTTACTGATTAAAAATTTGTTTGTGCCAGCAGTATAACCAATTCTTAAATGGTTCATAATCATTTGATCTCGTCTACTTGTAGTGATATTCAAAGAGCTGTTCACCTTTGGGCATATTGGGTTTAATTTGGTTGCTGAATTTTTCCAGTCATTTGCAATGAACTTTAATCAGATGTTTCAGGTCACTATAAGGATGTTTTGTAAGTTTTATAGTATCTTCTAAGTTGATACGACTTGTAGTTGCTAGTTGATCTGATTTTTCATTTCCCCAGATTCCAGTATGCGATGGTATCCAAATGAAAGCTGTGTCCTTTCCCATAGAATGAAGTATTTCTAATTCATTTTTTATTGCTTGTATAATGGGATTTGTTGTATAAATTTGCTTTAAATTCAATATCGCATTAAGTGAATCTATAATGATGACCATGACGCACTTCATCGTGTTACTCGTTTTGAAAAAGTTAATGCTTTTAATATAGCTGTAGTCTCGCCTGTGAGTATACTAAAATTTGTAGGTAAGTGTATGCTGTAGGAGTTTTCTTCATCAGAATAGTAAGCAGCAGCATGTCCATCTGGGATTTTAGAAACGTCGGTAAAGATTTGTAAGTAGTTGGAGTAATGGGATAAGACTTCTGCAAAAAGATGTTTAATTATGGAGAAGTTTGTATTTGATTTAGGATACTTTCTTAGTGTAGGTCAACGGTCAGTAGGTGGAACAAGTTGATCCATGTTAACATTTGTGACTTTTATTCTTTGTATTAGATATATACAGTTTGTTGTCTTTTTAATAGAGGGGAGGCGGAAAGTTGTGGACAATGTGCCTATGAATGTCGGCCGTACAGCGTTTGATGAATGGACTAACTGGCGAAGGTGCTGTATTCAGGCAAATAGCGGCCATTTTGAATAATTTTTGGTAGTTTGTAGTTTATTATATTAGTAATAAATTGGGTAAAAATTTTTCAAATAAACTCGTAGTTTAATTTTTTTTTGTTAAATACTTTGTATAAATATTTATGGCAGGACTAGGTACTAACACTTTATGGCAGAAGTGACTAATTTGCAAATAATGATTTAACACTGCGGGTTATAGTTTGTTTACCGGAAACTAACAGAATGTAGTAATACAGGTAACTATTTAGATAACTATATCAAATATATCTGGAAAAAATAACATTCATTTTGGCCCATTTTAACCCGTAAGAACAATTGTATTCTCATTATAAATAAAATAGTCATAACAAACTGTCGGAGACTACTTGGCAACAAAATTTTAATTGATTTAAGACGTACATCTCCGTCTTGTAATTATTTTTCTATCTCGCGGCTCTTCGCTATCTTGTGATAGTGTAGTTAAGTAAATATATGTTCAATGGATGAGAAAATAGAATACAAAAATCAAATGAGAATAGCATATAAACAAAATAGATAAAAGTCGGCTAACTGAAGAAATACTAAATTAAAAACCGAAAATAAAAAAGTGTAGGACGCTCTTGTACAAGATAAGAGTAAAGTTAAATGTCCGAACATGATGTTGTAATGCATAAACTCTGGAAAGAAGAAGACTAATAAGACCTTAATTTACTTTCTACTTCTTTTTATCATTTTCTACTGTTTATGACTTATGTTAATATATTTTAATAAAAAAGCAATCCTACTTTTAATATACCACATCTATAAGTATTATAGTATAATAGTATAAATATTTATCAATAAAATAAAAACATAATATGATCGTGTTTATATTTTCCGCTTATAAACATGCTTAGAGGTTGAATTAATTGGCTATCGCGTGGTTAGAAATTAATGTGACAAATTAAGCCTTTTAAATTGTTCGTTATAATTGTTTATACTCTACTAATTCGTGTATCTCCTACTAATGGAAATTTATAATGACACTAAATACAAATAAGCATTCGAATACGTAATATACTTTATACACGTACCCATACTGCTTTTACACATAACTTTAATTTCTAAAATTTACCTTTCCAATTTACCAGTCAAGAAAATCAGTCCTAATCAACACTATCTTAAGTGTCTTAATCGCTAAAAGCCATTTTTTCTAAGCCCATCTTTATAGTTCCGTATATTACACCGATTTGTTAACTTAAAACGGCTGTATATAATTACAAGTAAAAAAAAAGTAAAATAGGGTTTATAAAAATGCTATAACTGACATTCAAAATCGCCGGTCGCTTCAAGCGTTATTTCTGAGAGAACGGTTCATTATACAGAATGCTAGTGCTAATAATAATTTTTGTTTAAATTATCTCAGCTACTTATCTGGCGACTCTACTAATAGTATTTTTCAAATTTTGATCTAATTTAAATATGACTCATCTTTAAATTAGAAACAAGCTAACTGTAGCTAAACAAGCTACCGTAGAAGCTAAGATATAGCAGGTATCGTAGGTATGACGTCAATTCAAGATAGTAGGGACATTCCGACATATGTCAACACAGGAATTCCTACAAAGAAGGTTCCAAACATTAAAGATGTTGGAAAGCAAAAGGAAGGGGCCAGACCACAGACAAAGAAGAAGATAATCTGTGTAGTATGTCATAAAGAACATAAACTGTTCAAATGTACGAAGTTTATAAGTCTACAAGTACGTGAAAAAAACAAACTTTTAAAGGGAAAGTAATGGTGCAGTAGATGCCTACTACACAAAAGGGAAGTACCACGTTATTCCTCTCATAAATGTGCAGAACGACATTGAGATGACAGTGGGTAGCACATGTAGCAAAACAAGACACCAACAAATGGTCTCATAAAGTGACATTCTGGAGACCTCGAGAAACAGAAAGAAGCGTAAGAAGACCCAAAAAGAGATGGATAGACGATATAACAGCTCTAGCTGGAAAGCAGTGGATGAGAATTGCAGAAGATAGGGAAGCGTGGAAGAAATTGGAGAAGGCCTATGTCCAACAATGGATAAATGAAGGCTGAAGAAGAAATGTGCAGAATGTAATGGGCAGCATCATTCATTGCTACACATGTCAGAAGGTCGGTATGATAAGAGAAGGATTTCTGAAAACAGAAGGCCAGCAAGTAAACCCGATGTTAGTGGGTCAGACGGTCAGTTTGATAACAGAAGGAATTCTGAAAGCAGAAGGTCAAAAAATAGACACAATTCGAATGGGACCAGTGGTGACAACAGTTACGACGGATCGTCAAGGAGACGAGAGAATACGGTTATTCAAGTCATCGTGATGAAGAAGTCCTACTTGCAACTGCATTCGTACGAATGAGACAAAAGGAAGCTCACAATTGATGAGAGAATTGATTGACCAAGGCTAGCAGTCATCATTCATTACGGAGCAGGCTGCTACAAGTCTTGGAATAAAAAGAAAGGCTGTCCACGCCTAGATATCTAGAATTTCAAATGAGGATCAAAAGACGTCGAAATGGAGCGTGAAATGAAACTTAAAAGCACATTTCAAAAATGAATTTGAAATGAAGACCGAACCACTTGTGCTATGAAAAATAACAAAGAATCTACCGGAGAAGGAAATAAAGATAAAAGAAAGGAACCATAGGAACTTATTGGTGGATCCAAATTTTAATGAAACAGGTCCAATAGAGTTTCTATTAGGAGTAAAAGAATATAGTTTGATATTACTGGACGGAGTAGATCGAACAAAGGATGGTTTGCTAACCCCAAAATACTCAAATTGTTTGGATGTCAGGGATAGCTCAGCAAGAGAATATCTCTAATATACAAGTACTCAGTATGATA